ACATCTTTGCTTGCCCAGTAGTTTCGGACCGAACCTGAGCTACCCCCCCCCCACTGATAGATGTTAAGCGAAGAAAGTGTATGGCCGAACGCCCGATTCGCATGATCGAGGCGTGAAGGGTTAGCTCAGTATAAGGAGGGGGGCAGGGGGACTCGGAGAACACAATACTCGTTTTACGTGAAGGCAAAACCAAAATAAATAAGTGGAGGTGGGGTGGACAAGAGCGCCTGCTAGAGCTGTTACTTGCGGGTAAATTTAGAAAGGTAAGAATAAAAAAAAAGTAAAAAACAAAAATGAAAGCAAGTTTCATTCAATTTATCATATACGTACTTAGATAGAGATGTGACACCGGTTGGCTGTATGGTATGGTGGAGCAAGTAGGAATCGCATAGACCTCAAAGCAGCAGGCTGACATGTAGTAGCGCGAGCTGGGCTAACATCTCAGTTGAAAAGTCAACCGCTTTCTTGAGAAAAAGAACCAGGCGGACATCCTAAGAGAGCCCTAGCACATAATGATCCTAAACTGAAGAAGAGGTCACATCATCGCTGCTACGCAAAAAAACAAAGAAGGAACGGATGATTTCGTTTCCTTTGGTTCGGGTAGACTCGGAGAGAGAGAGGACTGTACAGTCTGTTTTAATTTGTGATCTACCCTCCCGAATTTTCCTAATTCATTTGAGTCGTTGCCTATGCCTTCTTTTTCGTGCGCGCCGCCAACTAGAGAGGAGGTTCAACATCACGTGATCACGTGATCATAATGCTGACGCTGATCTTAGTTTAAGATCAGGAAGGGTAGGTGTAGCACAAGCACATCACATCACAAGGGACATTGTGATGCCAACATAAGTAGCAGGGGTGGGCCATGATACTCCAAAATTGCTAGTCGTTTCCACTGTGCTGAGTGTGTGCCGCAAGAAATCTCATCGTGATAGCACTCGCCCCTATCCCTCAACCAGAGGTAGTGAGAATTCCGAACTCACGAATGGAAAAAAAAAAAGGATTGGGAGGGGGACAGAGAGAGAGTAACCTAATCCCAATCCAGTCTCGTCTTTGCCCTCAGTTGCTTCGTCTGGCTGCGTTTGTCCTTTTGTAGCCGACGCTCTGTGTTTGCCATCCGTTCTAGCCCCCTAACCCGCTCCCTCTGCTCTTTCGAAGGCTCTGTTTGAAAAGGCCGGGAAGCGGCAGAACAAATGAGGGTATGCAACTACAGAAAACGATCGGGTTGTCAATATCCGGGATGCCATCGGAATGATTGATGGATTCCGTACTTTCCACAGGCAGTCATCAACATTCTGTGCCTGCGAACGATGAAGTGTCGACGTCAAAAGAATGGAACGTGTTGATTTGACGAAATAAGGCTGGAAGTTATCAATCAGTACCAAACATAAAAAAATCTTCACACTGGACAGGCGCCCGAACTGACCGATTCTTCGAGACCATCACGCGCCCATATAGGTATCCAGATTGAGTCCAAGGCGCATCGAATGGTTGCCTTTGTATTTACTTTGTTGACGTTCTGTTCCATTTATCACCGGCGTCATACGGGTACAACTACATGCATGATGTGTTTGAGGACCAACCTGACCACCCGGACCGGAGCTTCGGGAAAAAGCGATGTTGACAGCCGCTCTTGGTATTAAACATCCTCTAAAACGCTTCAGCCAGTCACGGGCGGCGGCGGTATCTTTCGAAGTTGCCAGATTTGAAAGGGGGGGTGGCGTTGGCAGTGACGCGGTTCCCATGCTGTAATTAGTTCGATGCCGCGTAGTGCGGACGACTAGCTGAGCAGGAGCTCGTCTAGAAACCGCTTCGAGGGTGTCCCGCAAGAGTGAATTCAAACGAGTAAGAAGCATATATGCTTTGTATGACAGTGACGGGTGATATATGGTAGAGATCACCACGGATTTTAATAGGAACGTTAGAGAACAAGTCGGTTTGGCAGATGGAGAAAATTCTGATTCAAGTTATCGATTAGTGGTAAGTTTAAACTGTGCTCAGTCGCAATTGTGTTGCAAGTTGCAGTTGCAGCAGCAGCAGCAGACAGGTTCTCAGTGAGTGAAAACGGCAACTACCGTGACGGCAGAAGCCGACGAAGCCAAGAATTAATTAGTCATCAGTATAACCGTATAATCAAAGTAGGCGTGGGAAAGAAATCGTTCTTGGCGGCACCGGCCATCAGGACTAGTCGGGGGGTCGGGGGCATCTGTCGCCGTTCCGTTGCCGTTGCACATGCGCAGATGTCAAAATCGTGGAAGTTATTGAAAGTGGAGCGAGATCTCGTTCATTACCTCCCGCTTGGTCGACAGGAACTCAGTTTGTTCTTTCCCCGCCGTTAGGGTTGGTCATGTTCACATGTATTACAGTGGCGTCAACCCATGAGCTCTTTTTCAAACTTAATTAGTTATACTGCAGTCCGGCAAGGTAGGCTCCGTTTCAAGAGTCATACCCATTATTTCAATGGGCCGTTAGGGCGTGTTTTACTGGTCTAGTCAACGTCAACGTAAAACCCAAGGGCGGCCTATCTACATATTTCTGCGTTCAACATCCGAACCTTTTTTTTTTTCTTTTTTTCAATAAATTCGATTGACCTTCCGTAGCCCTTGATGAAAAAGAAAAGAAGCAGTGCCTCTGTCAATGGTGTTGTGTAGTGTGGTGTGATTTTCCGGGACGTACTCCGATGCACCCATTTCTGGCTGCCGGTTAGCTTTCTGGTGGTAACAACATCATGGCCCGGAATATCTGCCTCTAGATCTCAGGGACCCTTGTTTCCCTTCCCAACTATTGATCTCAGTTCGTTAACCCTGCAGATTGCTTGGCTTTGGCGCCTTTCTACTCCTCCGCATCCACAAAGGTGTAGGACTCAGTGACTCTTCCCGTCTACCGAATTCCTCGCCTTACCTCTGGCTTCGTTGAATGCAAATTTAGAATGTAAGAGTCTCATGAGTACACTCGGCTCTGTGGGCCGTGCCCTCCCCCTCCTCCCCCCACACTTCTTGCGAGGCGCTTTTCATCTCAAGCTGTTCGAGCGCTTACAAGGCACGCACGCTCGCTTCGCCTTGTTTGTTTGACTTCTGGTCTAAGCGCTTGTCCTTGTTTCGGAGATACTAGCCTTCCTTTCATCGGATGTCGTCTGACGTCGCTGGACGGCGTGTCTTGGTGATCCAGGGAACAGTCAACTGTCTCTAAGGGGTGTCAGTCCCTCGCGTGAGACCAAGTGGTACGGACCTCGTGCCGCACGTGTGATTCATCTTCCTGACTGCATCGCGATCCGACCGTGGTTCTGTGTGTGGGGGGTTCGATGGACCAACAGCGCGCTTGACCCTACTCATGTCAATGCGATGTACTCACCATTTAGAGGAGGTTTTTTACAACTACTGACGCAGATCGATTCAGGAGTGATCGAAATACTCCGCTCTGTGGGATGCGATTGAGCCATTCTGGTCTGACTAGGGTCGGGTAGCCGAAGGTCGATTGGCTTTTATTTCGATTGCCCAGATGAGTGGGATAACGTGATGCCATCAAGACTTTCGATCGCGAGTTCTTGCGAGTTCCAGAACACCGACTTGGGTCAACTTTATTCCACATATTCCACGTTTTTAATGGGTCACCAACAGCTGCCGGTAGGCAATGCCTGCGGGAGGCGCTCCAGTGCGCATGTTTTTGAACGTAGAACAACTTGTTCGCTTACGCACTTGATCACTTCCTTCGGGGCCGCGAAGCGACCATTGAATGTCTCGTCCTTACCTCGGAGACATTTATTGTAGCTCAGACAGAACGATTTTTTTTTCAAGTCCTCATGTGCGCTGTCATGACGCCCCTGATCCCTACCACACGGAGGTATTTGAGGAAGGATATATCCGAGGAGAGCGAGGACTTAGTCGATCCCCCTCGATACCAATGTTGAGTGTCGGGTGAGAATCACCCACCTCCAATTCTAGGACAGTGGCGGAGTGTCATGGTCGTCTAACCACCTGGAGGTCCAGGCGCAGTCGAGGCATTGGGTTTTTCGGTTAACAACGGTGCTGTTGGCCCGAGGACTGATTTTCAAGGGACATCTATAGTCAAGAAGGTCTCATGTCGATTCTCTGCTAGAGCCATATGCGATTGTTCGATACACTCTTTCTCAGGCTAGATATTAGTTCATCTTCTTGTACGGAAGCGCAGTCGTGTACTTCGGGGATTTCTCTGTAAGCTGTCATCTAAATCCAGGGTTGCCTTAGCGCCTACTCTTGAGATGGGGCACTCCGGGCAGGAGCCATGCATACGCGACTCGTATGAAGATGGGGTTTCACCTCGTCACCTCAAGGACTTTCTGTAGACTCATTCCCCCCTCCCTTCCCCTCCTGGCTTCTGGCAGAGCTCCGAAAAGTTAGCCCATTTTCTATTTCACAGCGGTAGAGAAGTTGGAGTAGGGAACGCATTGAAGCCAACACCTGATATCTCGCCGAGACTTCTTTCATTATGGGTCCCGCCAGCAACGAGATCACAATGACCGAACGATCCTGGTATATTTGGATTTGGATACTGCGACATCCGAGGGTCCTGACAACTGCTGAATGTTGTGTTGCCGTGAGGGCTGGGTCCGGTAAATGGGTCCTTGAGAGCCGGCGAGTGTCTATCTGCAACAGCAATGATCCCAACGTCATCTCGGACATGGGAGCGGGGTGATGTGTTTTTCCTTTTTTTAAATTTTTTTTTTCAGAGCCGATGATGTCTGTGTTATTATATGCCCCGGATCTCGGCCCTGTCTTCCGCATGTCGTCCATCCCATCCCTTCAACTTCTACAGGACTTCTATAGGACGACCAAAAGCGAGCCGTCACTTCCGACCTATACTTCCAATCCAATATAAATGAGAATAATTCTCGCAGACATGGTCATCCATTTGAGTCATGAACTTATTGCATGTCCAGACAACTGATGGTTGAGTGGCCACTCCACTACGGCCCGAAATAACAATGTTACTTTGATTTACAGGCTTAATGAATTAACACCCATAACTCGGATATGGTGTAACGGCTAACATTGCCGCCTCTCAGTAGTTCAGTGGCTGCAAATTAAGGCGCCGTGAGTTTGCAGTCACTGAAACTTGCATCGCGGCAGCTCGGGGTTCGATTCCCCGTATCCGAATGTATTTCCTTTTTGAGTCGTTCACCTCTTATGCAACCCAACTTCACTCAAAAAAGTGTATGTATTTCATAACGTCTAACTCGTTCCATATTTTTACAGTTAAATAAATCAATTACATCTCCGTTGACACGACCTTCGACGGAAGTTGCTTATCAACTAGTTAGTACACGGTAGTAGACTAACGCCTCGCTGAAAAGAAACTGTCAGTCCAGGTGCGAAGGCAATCAATGTCAAATTCAGATTATGTATGGTTAAAAAAATCATAGCCGAAGCTCAGGAACAGCTTCTAGTTGATTGTTTTTACGATGGCTCATCTCGAAATATAGTGCAGTCCAGGAATTCTGTTGAAGACTTACATGAAATGATGCAGAATGAATGTCTGGAAAAAGGGGGTGATTAGCCATGTTCGAGACGCTTACGGTAGAAACGGAATAAAATCAGAGTGGGTTGCCCGAAAGAAGTGAGCTATGGCGGGCATTTTCGGCACTGATAGTACGAAGACCGTCGTGTTTAAGAACATCATGTAGGCTGCATCGAGCATCGAGAGAGTACGGAGTGTTGGACTCACCCTTCATGCCAAACCATGATCGGAAGCTCGACTCGAAAGTCGTAAACCGAGGTCGTCCTGAAGGCATCGTCAGCCCAGAAAGTCCAGGGAATGGTTAAAAGGAAATCAGAAAAAAAAACCAGCCAGGTATTGTCGTCAATCTCAGACCATATTATACGGCCGAGGTCAGGCGGTAACTCCATAAAGGAGCATCATTGTGAAAAAAAGGCATGTGTATAGAACGCTTACTCATTCATTATGGGGGGTGGGTTCTTAGCGACGCCAGATCAAACGACAACGACCTAAATTCGTAGAAGGGTAGGTAGTATCAGTGTCCTGATCTCGGGGGGACAGAACAAGTTCAGATGTCAAGAAGGTGAGAGCATCGAGCATAAGCTCTCAGATACTCTAGTTTGAATGAAATTTGGATTCGTCCTAACAAGAGAATTTGAGGTTTAAGATAAGCTCACCCTTGCCCATGCGTGCCCCACATCTTCAATTTGGTGGCAAGACCTACGGTGCAAGTGGCATAAAGGTAAGTACATCGCTTGTGGCAAGGAGAAAATGTATTGGGAAAACCGATCAGTGTAACTATGACATATGTTTGGTTGGTCTTTGCAACGCCGTTTAGGTAGAACGACGGGCTCATGCGAACTCGGTAAGGTTCATCGTGTCGATTGGAAGAATTAGAGACGAATCAAATAACTCACTCACTTACAATGTGGTCTGGTCATGAGGAAAGAAAAGAAAAGTTGAAAGTTGAGAAAAATAAAATTTGTACGTAGGAGAATCATTTCTGTTTTAGGCATGTTGTTCCCAGGGCATTGTTAAGCACACAACTTTGACACGCGCGCTTTCAAAAATCAATTTCGACAGTAGAAAAAAAGAAAAGAATGAACTCAATACCGCGCATTTCCTTCCTATCAACGTCTAGACACGCATTATATAAGTCTAAAAGTCAAGTCTTCATTGTATCTTATCCAGGGTTCATTTAGCTGATACGGGTTTCACCGAAGGATTCTTCCGGACAAGCGCAACCCCAGTGGACCTTAGATATGAGGCACTCCATCCCAAGGACAGCTCCAAGACGGAGCGGCCATTGGTAATCCTACATGGGCTCTTGTGTGTGTTTTCCAATTTTTATCTTCATTTCCTGAAACTCACCCTCTGGTAGTGGCATGAAACGGAATTGGTTGTCTCTTTCAAAGGCTTTCCATCGTGACCTACAGCGATCCGTTTATACCCTGGTGTGTCTTACATCCTATTGGTCCATGTTTTATGCAAAATTGAATGGCCTTATCTGCGTCAGGATCTCCGCAACCATGGCTCGTCCCCTCACGCAATGCCGATGAACTACGAGGCAATGACCACAGATGTCATCCACTTCCTCCGGTCGCATTCGCTTTCGAATATTTCTCTTTTGGGCCATTCCATGTAAGACTAGGGTGCTCACGTCCTCCGACGCACACGTCACCGATGGAATGACTTTATCCTTATAGGGGTGGCAAAGTGGCCATGGCTGTTGCGCTCTCACCCGACCTCCCTGCCCATGCCATCGAACATCTTGTAGTGGCAGATATTGCGCCATCTATCTCCGCGCTTTCCCTAGAGTTCCAAGGTTATATCGAAGCCATGAAAAAAATAGAGAAGATTGGTGTTAGCTCTCGACGCGAAGCCCAGGATATCCTTGCTCATTACGAGCCCGTGGGTTATTTATAAGTGGCAAGTTACACTGCTTCCAAGAGGCGCTGACAGCGCTTTCCCCATTCATTCAGGACCCGATGACTCGCGCATTCCTTCTAACTAACCTTGATACAACTGTTCGGCCACTCAAATTCCAGGTACCCCTCGACATCATCGGTTCTTCCATCCCGGACCTTGGGAGTTTCCCCTATGAACCAGGTGAGCGCTCTTGGCATGGAAGCACGCTATTCGTCAAGGGCTCGAAGAGCAAGTACATCAGCAAGAACAACGTCCCTATTGCGAAAGAGTTTTTCCCAAGTATGTCTCTCGAGACGCTGGACGCTGGACACTGGGGTATGTGTGGACACTTATTTTTTGGAGGGAATGCTTATTAAATGCTGTCTGGCCTACTAGTACACGCAGATAAGTACGTTCCCCCTGTTGGTTAGGTTTACGTTGCGCTGAAGGCCCCTTGTAGGCCGAATGAGTTCAAGAAGCTCGTTGTGGACTTTATCACCCGATCATAGACACACTGTATCATAATGGCCCACTCGACCCATTAATTTCAGGCATTTACCCTGCCCTCGTCATGCTCACCCTATTACCCTCAGCTGGCTCAATCTGATCCTCTTATCAAACAAACAAGATATCATTGACGCAACGAGGGTATTGATTCACACAACATCCTATGAAAAAGCAATTCAAGCAGCCACTATCCATCAATCCGGTGATTCACGTCTTCACGCCTTCTCCTCTGCGCACCCCGCGTTCCAGGTCCACATCCCACCCGCTCTTGTCCGGCTCACGTCCATAGGAAGAAAGCGTATCAGGCTTCTCTGTCCCACGTTTCGACCCACCATGGCCACCACCACCACCCGTTAGTCCAAGTTTCTGCGGGAGCAACAGTGGGCGCATCCCGCTTCTACACCAATGAGCGCGTTCGTGCGCAGGCTCAGGTATGGGCGCAGGGGGCTGTATGACACTCATCCTAGCCGCCTCTGTCGCCTGATCCGTCTCACTCGCTAAAGCGCGCAGATATTTTAACTCCCTGTCTGCGCGTCGTGCGTACGATAGTTGCGGGGCCGATGCGGCGTGCTTCGGAGTGCGGTAGACCAATCCGGATCCCGTGCCTTTCACAATACCAGTGGCAGTAGCAGCTGTTTTGTGGGCGCTGCAATACTCATGTTGGGCCTGCCTCTCGCATTTCTTGGCGTGACTGCGTGGGGAACAATCGCATGCCCACGTCCACGCCGAAAGGTCATACGCATCGCCAAAACTGAGCGCTGCCCAGGCACCAGGAGCATAATACGCGCTTCCGTGCGTTCCAAATGGGTCCTCTCTTCGTCCTTCTCCACTTCCTTTCGTTGTTGACCCTCTATCAGTGCGAGCACGAGCATCTTCCTCGCTTCCCTCGTCATCATTGTTATTCATGTACCGATTTATCCCGAAGGTGTTCGGGCTCGATGCGCGGCGCGGGGCAAGCGGGAGCGAAAGAGAGAGCGGGAACGATCGTGAGAGTGGGGAGCGCGCCGTTATCGACGCGGAAAGCGTGCGAAACTGTATGCGTGGGCGTGGAAATGGGACATTACGGTGAAGGTGGAGGTGGTGGTTCGCGCGCGCCGTCACAATCACGGGTACTGTGTATGGCGATGACTCCGCTTCGTCGACGTCGACAGTTCCTGGGAAATCCAGTGGCGTGAGCGGCGTTACTGGTGGTGCGCTGCTGTCTGAACTGGAAGATACGCAGGATAGGGTCGGACTCGGCAAGGCGTGTTGGTGGGCATGGGGGTGTGCGTACTCACGCCCGGAGTACATCCCACTCGGCGTGGACGCATGGGAGATCGATAATGGCGATGGCGAGCGGCGTGCACCAAAGCCGAGTGAGGACGACTTCAACAGCGCTTCGAATACCTCTTCGACTCCTACTTCGACTTCTTCCCCTGCCTCTTCTCTCACTTCCTCCTCCTCCTCCTCCTCCTCCTCTTCCTCTCTCTCTCGATATTTGCTCACATCTCCCTTCCTGTGGCCAACCACTACCGCAGCCATGCGCGCATACATGGCCTGCTTCTTTGCCACACGGCGACCCTTCATACGTGCCTTGAGGTCGTGCGCACGTGCACGGGCCCACACTTTCGTCGCGGCCACCTTGGAGTTGGCCAGCAACGACGCTGGTATGTGATGACCACCCGCAATCAACGAAGATGTCGGCATTGGTGTCGGGGGTCTGTATATATCCATGGCGGTGGTAGTGCCGGCGGTAGTGGCGACATTCTGGCTGCTGGTACTGGTTCTCAATCTGTGGAAGCGGGTGGAGACGAAGAGACCGCGGGCGCACAGCCAAAATGTGCGCAGGTGCAGGAAGAGGACGCGGAAGATTGTATTCATCCGGGTTGACTATTTCCCTCTCTCTCACTCCCTCTTTCTTTTCCTTATCGTAGAGTTCCTGAAGGAGCTGAAAGGGTATTGAGGACGAGGGGAGGAGAAAGACAGAATCGAGTGACCTTGGTCAGTTGTCAGTGTTGTCAGCCTCATTCTAATGAGATTAGATAAGATCCCCTTAACAAGACAATCTTTATCCAACCTTTGGAACACATGTTTGCGCTGATCCACTTCGTTATTTCGTTATCGTTACGCCCGTTGAACCATTTCTCCACAGAGGGCGCTCGGGAGTCTCTTCCTGGTCAAGTTCTTGACATCATGGCACAAATAACCACATTCTTATTATTCGAGACATCGTATTGAAGGCTGCATACTGTTCTTACTAGTACTA